TAAAAAAAAAAAAAAAAAAAAAAAAAAAAACCAAACTTTCGTTAATCAATTAATCATCAAATGAACAATGTTATATCATCTTTAATAGTAAGTAATAACTACGAATTTGGATTACACGCTACTTGTTATAGCTTCCTAGTTGCAGCTTGTACTAACTACTGCATCGTCATTAATTATCGATGCTGCACCTATTTATTTACCATATAATGGAGAGAGTATGAGAGAGAGAGAGAGAGAGAGAGAGAGAAAGAGAGTGTAAATGAGGGAGAGGGATTGAAAGCTTGTGTTCGTATTTTCCCTGTATTTGCACCCTACACCCACCTACACTGTGTATTTTATGTAGAGACATATATACGTTCATATATATATATATCTATATATATTATAGAAGCGCGCATATGCATTTAAACATACATACATACATAAATGTAATACATACATTATTTTACATATGTAAATGTACATTTGAAGCAGAAATTTAAAAATGCCCAGAGCCATCGTCCAACTGATCGTACTCGACACAAGTTAACATGATATTTCCCACGTTAAATATGATTATACGGTTGACGTGTGTGCATACACCAAATATTACGTTACACATAGCTTTTCAACGTTTACCTTTTTTGTTATTTATTTTTCTTTTTACTTTCTCTTTCTCTCTCTCTCTCTCTCTCTTTCTCTTTCTCTTTATCTGTGGTCACTGATTATTTTTTTTTTTTTATTCCTTCCCTTCTTCCTCTTTATACTTTCAACCATTTATTTTTCATTTTTATTTTTCATCGTTAAAAAAATACTACATGACCACTTTGATATAATATTCGTTAACGAAACAAAAGTAAAAAAAGGAATTTTATATCATTTTCAAAAGACTGTATTATATTTTGTGATTTGTTTTCGATTATTCGATCATTCATTTAAACAATTCTTTTCTTTTTTCTTTTTTTTTTGTGGTAAAATTTTGTTTTTTAGTTTGTTCATGATGATATTATGTCTTTTTTTTTTTTTTTGGTAGAATAAATTTTATACAAATGTTAAAAAGAAATCAATGATGCAAGTTAAATTATTTCGAATTATGTAATTAGATAACAATGTTAGATTAAATTACTATACTTTTGTAATAATTTGTTTAATTTAAAAGACAATGTGTTTCGAATAAAATTGTCTACTTGAACATGTTTGTTAATTTTTACAACCAAAACCATAGGTAAATAATTAAATTATAACAAAGTGGAAAAATTAATTAGCCCACATAACGTAAAAACTTTTTAAAACATTTTTTGAAAAGTTTTAAACCTTTCAAAAAGGTTACTAAAAAAATCTTTCTACAAGGTGAAAATGTTCGCGTTTCAGAGACTTTAAAAAGATTACTCTATTAGTAAAATATTTTATGAATCATTTTCAAAATATTTTAGAATGATGCCTGCAAGGTGGTTTCTGAATGATTATTTTGGAAATATTTTAAATTATTTAAATTATTTAAGTAGTGAGGTTTTTTCCGATAAATATGCTTTGTAGTATGCAGTCGCACACAAACGCACACATATACAACCAGGAGTGATAACTACGAAGCATAGCATAAAGAGGAGACCGAGAATAGGAAAAAACTCTATAGCTATATTCCGTCTCATTCTCTCGCTGGCTCAATCCTATATGTTTGTCTCTTTTTCTCTTATTATTTAGTATAGCAGCCGTTTCATAGCTCCGTTTCATAGCTCCGTTTCCTGACCGATTGCGTTTATTTACTTTTCAGATCACTCCCATTCTAAAGAAGTTTCCACTTCAAAAATTCCAAATAATTTTCTAACGACGACGATAATAACAATTTAACAAAGGAAACACATTTGTTAAAAGATTAAATAAACTAAACATAAACATAATAATACTCACGATTTTTCTCATTCGTCAAGTCAGAACCTTTATCTTGAGCATGATGAATCCTCGTATCAGCAGATTGTGACAATTGCCAAGCTTCGTAAGCCGTATTGAATGCCTGTGCCACTGTCAACGTCACCGTTTGTGCCATTTTTCTTTTTGGACATAGAAATGCGTGACATTCCATGGTCTCGTTCAGATTCGTTGCTATGAATGCAAACACGTGGTCGTGGGTTGCATCGGCCGAACAATAAGAGATCCTGCGTGTTATCCATCATCCAAACCCCACGCCCCACCCCCCCCCAAAGAAAAAAAAACAAATAAAAACAAACAAAATATTATTTTTACTTATTAAGATATAATTAAATGATATCACATTATCATTGTGATATCGTATTAATTTCATTGCATATCACTAATAACACGTATTTGCATATAAAACATAATGGTTTGATTAACATTCATATAATTAAGATCAATTTTGTATAATATATATTCGTATATATATATCTATCATGAATACTATCTTTCAATTATTCTATGGAATTTAACATGAGAAAAATCGTACTATTACAATTTCATAGGTTTTTGATATCCGATATTTGTTTCGTCAAAGAAACTAACATAGAGAGAGAGAGAGCAAACATTGCTATCGGATTTCTACACTATCGATGTTTTTTATTCTACTCGAATTCGTTTATTGTTCCAATGTGACGAGTATACTCTCGTGCGTGTGTGTGTATGAGCAAAAAGAATAAAAAAAAAAAAAAATAAATAAATAAATCAAAAGAAGATGAAATTTATCATTCGGAGATCTGACTTAGAAAAAAAGATTGATTTGTTTCGAAAGGATGTTAACAAAAAAAGAATTACATTAAGAACTAAGATAGAACTTGACGTATGAAACAAAATCATCAGATTAAAAATGTTCATTTTAAATTAACATATATTAATTAATTAATTAATAATAATAATAATAATAATAATGTATCTACCTGTATATCGATACTTGAAGTTGATCTTCCTCGGTAGCCAAATCTGTCATTCTGATGCCTCTTAAACTGACAGCCAAAGAGACCCTTTGTAATTTTTTACCACTTGCTTTTGCCTGTTACATAAAAAACAAATACAAATATTATTAATAATACACAGTCAATAATATTTAATATTTAATTTCAATAAAATTACAAAAACAAAAACAAAAATAAGAAAAATTGTATAAAATCAAACGATATAATATTATCTCATTGAAATTTTGTAATATATATATATATATAATTAGAATAATAATAATAATAATAATAATAATAATAATAATAATAATAATAATAATAATAATAATAATAATAATAATTCCCCGTGTGGGTCCCGGGGTAGAATAGACATAAGGTATTTCCTGCCTGTCGTAAAAGGCGACTAAAAGGGAAGTGTTATAATTAAATAATAATATTTAAATAAATTTCAATAATAATTAATAAAATTTAATATTTAATTTCAATAATAATTAATAAAATTTAATATTTAATTTCAATAAAATTACACAAAAACAAAAAGAATTGTATCAAATCTAACGATATAATATTATCTCATTGAAATTTTGTAATATATATATAATTATACGAATAATAATAATAATAATAATAATAATAATAATATTTCATAATTATAATAATAATAATAATAATATTTCATAATAATAATAATAATATTTCATAATTAAATAATTAAAAAATGAAGTTAACTATTTGACGAACACTTTAAGCACTTCAATCAAATTCGAGATAGTTCGTACGAAATCCACTTAACAAGTTCCTTTCTCTCTCTCTCTCTCTCTCTATCTCTCTCTCTCTCTCTATTTTAAGCAAAATTCGATGTAATGGCTAATACCCGATAATACCGATAGCTAACTAATCCATCCAATTGCATTATTTTACCGTAGCAAGCCCCGCGTAACACCGCGTTACCACTGTGAGATAAACTCAAGCAAACTTCCTGATAAGCATAACTTCGAGATAGAAATTTGCATGCCGTAGTGAAACGATACGATTACTACGTTGCTGTATCTCTGCTTATATTTCTATGTATGTGTATATAATCTATACATATATATATATATATATATATATATATATATATATATATATATATGTCTGTTTGTGTGTATGTATATCGGCAAATCCTAAACTCTGTTAGTCGTTCTCTGTTAATGCTTACTAGCTTATCAATGCAACTGAATTAAACTGAAATCTGAGATACGACGTTCATTTCGTATCAACATCATTGTTATTGTTATTCTTATTTCATTGTTCATTAACAACGTTATTGTTGAAAAAATAAAATAAATAGAACACACACACACACACACACACACACACATACATACAATTACTTGACACGAGGTATTCGAATGATAAAATAATTTTCTTTAAATGATTTTATATTTTTATTTTTTATTTTTTTTTTTTATTAATTCATTTTAATTAGGAATATTTTTTTTTTTTTTGACACGAGGTATTCGAATGATAAAATAATTTTCTTTAAATGATTTTATATTTTTATTTTTTTTATTAATTCATTTGATTATTATTAAATCAATGAATATAATTTAATAATAAATTGTGATGATTTAAACACGTGTTTCACTTGACACAAAACAAATTTGAAAATTAACGAAGTCAATGATGATTATGATGATGATAATAATAATGATGATGATGATAACGATGATGATGATGATGATGATGATGATGATGATCGGTTAGATTAAGTAAAGTTTAGTATATAGTATTCGTTTTAAAGTAAATAAAAATATGTTGTTGTCCCTTGGATTTTATCCGGATATTATTCAATTGTATTCTCGGTTTCCATTTCAATAAAAGAGGAAAAGGATTGAAGGAAGGGTTTCGTATTTCTTTTCGAATCATCCTGTTCGTTCTCACAGAAAGAGAGAGAGAGAGAGAGAGACAGAGAGATATCTTCCGTTGGGATCATAATCGATAAAAAGAGATAGGATAAGAAAGAAAAAAAATAGGGATAGAAAAAGATACTATCCAATTTTGTCGTTCGACGTGAAAAAAGAAAAAAAAAAAAGGGGGAATATCTTTCTCTCGTTCTATTTCCCTTTGTGAGGGGAGGAGCAAGAAAAAAAAATGGTAGAAAAGGGTAGGTAGTAAAAGGGCGAAGATATTTTTTTTTGGATTGAAGAATAGATGTGGATTTCTTTTTTTTTTTGATTAAAAAAAAAAAAAAAAGAAAATTATGAATACTGTAAAAGAAATGGTTTAATTATATAAATTGTATTTAATTATACTAATTGATTTAATAGTAATCAAATGAATTATAATAGTAAACAAAACAAAATGTATTATCAATTAAAATTAAATTTATTATATTTATAATAGTACTATAATATTTCAACATAATAATTAATTATATTAGTTAATTGTTTTAAGTTATATTAATTATAATTATTATTATACATAATAATAATAATAATAACTATTAACATATTACTACTACTCTACTACTATTATAGAATACATAAACTATTTCTTTTGAACTGAAATATTTGAAATAAAAAATAATATAATTTCCTTATGAAAATTGTATTTCTAAAATCACGAATTTTGATTTCAATAATCCCGTACAATAGAATTAATTTTAAATTAATAATATATATTTAACTATCAATAATTAATAGCAAGAAAAAAAAAAAACAATTTAATTTTAACACTAAAAGCAATTTCTGTCTTTTTTTTCTATCCACAAATTATATACCAAAACAAAATAACAAAAATAATATAATTAATAAAAATAAATAATAAAAAAATAAATTAATTGCATAAAAAAAAGATAAATAACGAAGAACAACGTTGGGTGGAATCCTGAATTATTAAAAGGATATATATTAAAAAGAACAATTCTTTCTCAAACTACGATATACGTGGAACACCAAAATAAAAAAAAAGACAAAAGATTTAAACAACATTTCTTCTTTTATCTTTTTTTTTTTTTTTTAATCTTCTTCTTCTTTTTCTTCTTCTTCTTCTTTAACGATAACGAGAGGTCGTGCCTACTATTACTCTCCATCCGTCCATCTATTTTTTAATTACAACCTATAATACTCGAGAAGCAGCGAGGAATTTGCGCTTACTCGAGCGCGTATCTCACCCCCACCCACCCTTTCCCTTTCCCTTTCCCTTACCCTTACCCTTACCCTTTTCCCTCTTTCTCCCTTTACCACTCTTTGAGAAGGGATATTTATATGAGCAGGAAACACTCTGGAAAGGCTGAATTTTCAATGGCGAGTTATCTATACATACATATGTACATACAAATGCATATACAGGGTGATTCACTAGTACTTGCCACTCTAAATAACTCCGAAAGTATGATAGTAACAAAAAAAAGTGGATAAGGAAAAAAGTTACATGTCAAATTTAGGATTATAATGTGACATTAGTATTTTATTTTATGGGTTCAGTCATTTTCGAGAATTATTATTGGTCATCTTTGTTGCTGACAAAACGAATCCAATGATGTGCAACATTTAATAACTGGTGAATCACCCTGTATATATTATATATGTAGGTGTTTATATATATATGTAATACGTAACTTTTTTTTTACCTTTTGTCTAACGTACTACTCGTTATATGAGATAAATTAAAGGTCTTCGTTACATTGTTTCCAACCATTCTACATTTTCTCTTACGAACCCACCCACCCACTCAAACACGAGAGCAAATAAAGAAACTTTCTATGAAATTTTTTCCTTCGAATAATTTGTAATTTTTATATTTAATATTATATCAATAAAAAAAAACAGAGAGAGAGAAATAGAAGAACAGTTCATCGTTCTTTATTTCTTAATAATAATAATAATAATAATAATAATAATAATAATTGTTACTATAATATTTCAAACACGTTGTTATTCGAGTATTATCTTATTGCAAAATAATCTAAAAATGAATTCCTGCAAACGATGAATATCATTCAGTAGAATGTTCGTAGAGTTGAGAGTAAGTAAACCTACTGTGAATGTTCGTAAATCATTTTGTACGACATAGATGATAACATTCCTAGAGAGTATAAGAGAAAGAGAAAGAGAGAGAGAGAGAGAGAGAGAGAGAGAAGAGGAAAAGGTCTAATGAATCGTAATGAATAATCGTCTAAAATGCAACGTTACTCTCATGCCAGTACTACAAGACAAATTGCTTTGATCGTTAGTGTGTAAGAGTAATAAGAAGATTAAGTGAAAAACCTAAAGAACAAGAGAGACAGATATAGAAAGAAGGGATGGAGAGGTAAAGGGATGAAGAGTAATCTGAGTGTACCCAATGTCCTTTAATTAAAATTGCAAGATGTTTCGTGTCTAATACTACACGGTTTGGATCAAACGATCAATGATTAGCAAACCCACCTCATACCCTATGTATATATACAAATACATATACATATATATATATATATATATTTATATGTTGTATGTGTTTGTGTATGTGAAACGTACCATGGTAATGACCGTCTTGATGGCCTCAGCCGTGGCTTCCTCGCTCGATGGCGTCTCGACGAGGGTGCTGCCCAAATATTTGAGGGTGAACCTGGCCTCTGATGCATCCTCGGATTCCTCATGAGTCGACGCTACAGTTCCGGTACTCTCAACGCATTCACGACTGTTAGCCAATGCCCATTCCTCGCATAGTTCTATAACAAAGTTTTTTAACAATAAACTTCATTTTCATTTTTCTCATTAAAACATAAAAGGAATTTTATTGTTTTTTTTGTTTTTGCACACATCTCACTAAAACAATTATGAAAACTTTTCTGATGCATGTTCTTTCATTTTTTTTTTTTTTTTTTTTTTTTTTAAGTAAAAACTTCTTTAGAATGGAAGTAGTTTTTTTTGTAACGATTAATTTATTCTTCTATTATTAATTAATTAATATTGAAAATTGTGAGAACGTGTACATAAACATAGATGATTTTAATCCTTTCATGGATCGTTCTCCAATAAAATTATGAACAATTTTCTAATCTTTTATATTAATAATTATTTTTTAATTAGATATTTTTCATGTAAGATATTAAATATTATTTTTAAAATATGCATTATTAATTAAAAGCAAATTAATGGTAAATTTTTATTATAATTATTTAGAAAATTATTACGCCTGTAGTAATGCAACCCTCCATACACACGTTGAAAATGTTGCTTGCTAGCGTCATCTGTCGAGACAGATTTTTTTTTCAGTCCAAACTGTTTATACACGAATGCATTACGGGTTGCCTATCTTTCGGGCAGAACAAAAATTCTATCCTGATAGATGACGCAACATTTGCAAAGTCTGTCTGGAGGGTTGCATTCATACAGGCGCGCATTGTTTATAATTATTGAATAATTAATTAGAAATAAAAAGTAAAAGTAATATATATGAAATCAAATTAAAGAGTAAATATATTCAACGTTGAATTACGATATTTGTTTCTTATTTTTTTTTTTTTTTTTTACATTTTTTTATTTCAAGACGTAAAAACACAACTTTTAAGACACGCAATATATTTATCCACTCGTGATACGAGTTACTAAAATTAAAAAAGGATTACAGTAAAATATATAAACTTATTCATATATTTTGTTTTCTTTTATAATCTCATTTGTTTTCTCAGATAAAATACTTTTTGATATCGTCCAACTTCACGACTATCTACTTACTATCAACTTTCTTTCATCTACGCGTTCTCAGCATAAAAATCGGATTTTAAAATCTCTCCCTGATTTTATTCGACAAACTGCAACTACTTCTACTGTTACTACTATAAGAGGGAAGGAAACTTGATATCTTATGTCTCTTTGATATCCCGTATCTATTTCTTCTTTCAAAGTTATCTGTTATTTTCAAGAGTATCCGATAAAACAAACGTCACACTTTTTAACACATTTGATGATAAAGTCAACAAATTTTTGATATCTCAAAATGTACCTACTTTCAAAAATAAATATATATATATATATAATATAAAAAAAGAAAACAAAAATAAGTAAATAAATATTTAAAAGAAAAGGAAAGAGAAGAAAAATAGAGAATTATCTAATATTAAATTAATTGAGAATGGAAATGAATTGAATTGAAATAAATAAATAAATAAATAAATAAATAAATAAATAGAAAAAGAAGAATATTTAAAAAATAGGATAAATGTCAGTAATCGTTTTCTCGTGTTCCAACGAGAAAATTTGCAGTTTGCAAGTTTGCAGTTACTTTCACGTCTACTTACTTGAATTCGTTTTGCATTCATTCGTGTTTTAACAACCCACCACCTCCCCTCCCCTCCCCTCCCTTCCCCCCCTCCACTCAACCCTCTTTCTCTTCATCTTCATCCTGTGTAAAAGAAACTTCAACTTTTATCTCTTTCTCTCTTTCTTTCTTTATTTCTTTCTTTCTTTCTTTTTCATAGTGAAGTAATTGCGTCGTCTAATTTTCTTTTTCTTTTTTTGTCTTTTTTTTTTTTCTTTCTTTTACTTTTCCAACATCCATCCGAGGAAAAACTCTCCAATTAAGTTCGTCTCTTCGCCTTTTGCTCGTAATCATGGTCCAATTAAAAGAAGAAGAGCAGTCAGTCGAAAGTGCACCAACAACCAACCCAGTCTTTTACCAATATCATCGACCCATCGATGGATTTAACCTTTTGACACCTTTTACCTTATATTACATTTCTTTTTAACAATGTATATTACCTTCTTTTTTTTATGGTTAATTTTGATTAACAATAATTCAAAACAAATTGGAAATTGATAGAACGTTGTGGACCCTTTTAGAACCTTTTTATTTTATTTTAAATAATTTGTATTCTTATTTAGTCAATTTGGATTAAATAAATTTTCAACAAGGGTTTACTAGAATTTAAACGGATTAGAAATTGATCGAAAGTTAACCTCTTCTAGCACCTTTGTTTTTATTATTTTGTTATTGATTTTATTTGAAATATTTCTTCGCACTTATATATGGTGAATTTTGATTAAAAAATTTCGAACGAAAGTTTCGAGAATTCAAAAGGGATTAGAAATTGATTGAACCGTTGAGCCCTTTTTTGGCA